ATCTTATACTCCAGGCAAATGGATGTGTTCTCATAAAGTATGTTTTATTGGATATTTCTTGATCTAAGATGTTTTATTAATTTCTGTTCTAAGCTGCTAGCTTCGAAAAATATATGATCTAATTTATTGGTTATTTCCTTTTTAAAACTAGTTGTTTTTAGATCTTTAAGTAATATATCTGCTTTTACATATAATTTTTGTAATCCTTTTTTAACTTTTTTATATTCTTCAGTAATTTTATGTGGTCTTCTCATATATTACCCTATAGAATTATAATAATATGGATTATTTTTAATTATTTTAGTTCTTTCTATTACTTCTTTTGTCTCAAATTCTATTTGACTTAGTTCTTCACTCATTTGTTTCTGGTTTTGTCTAATAATTTCTCTAAGTGTTTTTACAGAATTCTTATATGTATATGTTAAAGATAATCTTAATTTTAAAGTAAATAAATGACTTTCTAGAGATTTTTTATATAATTTAACTATTTTAAAATGCTGTCTATTATAAAATAGTGTTCTACGGTAGGCAGATGTTTTTTAAAAATAATAATCTTTTTTCATATAAGGTCTTTTAGGACTAAGGCTCTGATACCAAAAATAAGGTGATATTTCAAAATAAGGTGATATTTCAAAATAAGGTGATATTTCAATTTCAAAATAAGGTGATATTTCAATAATTTCGTTAAACTTTTAATGTTGTAAAATCCTACTCAGTACTCCTCCACTCTCTTGTTCTACTATGTAATTATCATATTAAGTTCTAGTTTTAACTTCTTATATATATATATATAGATATAACCCATACTAACATGAACACCCATACATGGTTGCAGAAAACTAATCAGAAAAAGAATCTATGGGTATTCAAAATCATGTCATGCAATTTTATTTGACACTCACTGCGTATTTGATTATTTATCAATATTTCCTTTTTATCTGCTCCTAATTATTTTTTCATTTTGATAAATAAAGAAATAAAAAAAATTCTACTATACTCTTAATTAATTACTTTTAAAAAGGTAAAAACTTTTTAAATTTTTTACGTCTTTTCATTCATCCACTTCATAATTAATATGAATAAAATAGTAAATTTATTATGTCAATTTTTTCTTAATAGATATGTCATTTCAAAAGTGAATAAGTAAATAGGGACTGCAAGAGTATAATTTTTTAAAAATATTGTTATTTAAAATAAATTAAAGATTTTTTATTTAATCATAGATTATTATATTAAAAATTAAATAAATACTGTAAGATTAAATTATTACTACAAATACAAAAGTATGTCTTTTTTTAACTCGTAGGCGTCACAAGTTTGGATCATTCCTTATGGATATATAGTTAACTTTAATTGGGTACGGCAATATAGTAATTATTAAGGGTGTGTTTGGTATAGAGGAAAATACTTTTTAAGAAATTAGATAATTTTGTATTTAATTTATTTTGTATTTGTTATGCAAGTATTTTTTTACTGAGCTAGTCAATTTAGATTATAGGTTAGTTTTTCCTATATACTTTTCTACAAGGTGTATAAAAAAGAATTAGTTTTTATTTATTTGAATGATTTTGATTTGATACAAAATTTTAGAAAATAAAGAAGATTTTCGAATTTTGTGGTTGAAAAAATTAAAATGTGTCAAATGTATTAATAAAATATCATTTATTCTTGTAGTTTTAAACATGTTAAATGAAAAAATTGAAATTAAAAAAGTTGCTATAAAGAAAAGAAACATTTTTTAAGCAGACTAAAAAGAAAAGTAGGTAAAAGAAATTAAAATGAAATAAAATAAAATATTTTAATAGAACTATTAATATATAATCTAGTTTAATACTATGGAAGGTGAAAGTTGAGGATAGAGAGGTGAGGTGGTAGAGATGAGAAGCACAAGGGGTGGGGTCGGGGCTAAGTATGGTGAAAATTTCATTAATTCATTCATGTAAATAGAAAAAGATGAAGCAATCATCACTCGATAGCTCAAAACTGATCAGTATAAAATCATGTGATTTGTCCTCGTTTGTGCATATTACTGACACTAGCCTAACGCCTCCTGCCTACTCGTTTTTAACTAACTTATTTATATCTAGCTACATGATGAAAAATTTCCTTGATCAATCGTCACTCGACAGCTCAAAGATGACCACAACCTGCGTGCTTGCCTACTCGTCTTTCACTGGTCTATTTGTATCCAACTACAATTTCTTTCCTTATAAAAGAAAAAGGGGCCCTCGGCCAATGATATATAAATATAACCACTTGAAATCTTGAACTTAGTTATTATCACTTGAAATCATTCTTCTAAAATCTAGAATTCAGAAAATTGTAATCTTAATTCCGCCTCTCAAACGACGTAAAACTCTATAAAAAGAAAGGCTTACTCTTCTATTGGGAAAAAAATCCTTATAACACTAAAAAAATAGAAAGACTAATACTCAAAATGCCACTCTCTCCCTCAATACTCAAATCTCTAACATCTCCAACAATTTCTCCTATGGCCAAATCAACTCCAAAACTCACACAAAGTGCTCTTGGTTGGGCTGCTCAAGACTCCTCTGGCAAGTTAACACCATTTATGTTCAAGAGAAGGTTTCTAATAATATCCTATCTTAATTAATACATACATTATTACTTCAACAATAGTATTATATGTATATAGTATTTTTTTTTTCTAGCTAGTTTTTGGAAATATATTCTAACAATTTAATATTATTGTAGAGAAAATGGTTTAGATGATGTGACCATCAAGATCTTGTATTGTGGGATGTGTCGTACAGATGTACACTTTGCCAAGAATGATTGGGGCAACACAACCTATCCTATTGTCCCTGGGTAATTACTTTTACTTCATATTACAATTATCTAAGCAAACGATATCGATATTGTCTTAACGAGATTGAGGGCTTGATATTATTGAGAGATTTTAACTTTTCTCGCATAAATATAAGTTGAATAACAATAATATACTTAGTGAGCTTTGAAAGGGTTAGGATGATGTACGCATGTCTTATGAAGAAAGAAGGTAAGAAATGCAAATTCTCAATGAAAAAATATAATATAAAGTTAGAATAATAAAACCTGACACAATAATTTGAAATGTTAATTTAATGATATTAATATAGTGTTTGTGTTGAATTTGATAAGTTAAGATAATGATAGTGGAATAGTGTTAGCTTGTTGCAGTGCTAGAAATTTGAAGAGGACACCAAAACACAAATTTGATCTTTTTTGTAAATTGACAACGATAGATTTTGTATAATGCAAAAGGGTTGACTGTTTGAGGGCTTTAGAATATTTAATAATAAAAGGGTAAAAATATTTTGAGAAGGAGGATTGAAATAGGTGTATAATGTGGGTTCATGTTAATCGTTGGGATATAATTAATAAGACAACAAAATTGATAGTCACGTAAGAATAGATACTAAAATTACCTAAAATTCAGTTCATATTTCTTTTCAAATTTAACAATATGTGATAAAAATTGAACAATATATGAAATCACATCTTTAGGAAATAAGGAAAAGACCAAGAAAATTGAAGTGTCAAGTCATTGCTTTAGTTGCCTTATAGTCGAGCCAATTCTCAATGGTATTTCATCTCAACATCATGCATGCATGAAGGAGGATTTGAGACATCTATGTGTTTGGCATGGAAGAAAACGTTTCTTAGAATATATATGTTTTGTAATTTTTGTATGTTTGATTGATCAACTCTAAAAAAATGAGTAACCTAATGTATGAAAAATAAGTTATATAAATGACGTTCCAAAATTATTATTTCCTCTCCATCTACTCAATCCTCATCCTTTGACCATCCCACCCTTCGCCACCTCCAAGCCCCACTCCCATCCCCATGCATCTCTATAAAATTTTACCACATAACATGTAAATATTCTCAATAAAGCAAAACCATTAAGCTATGTATAAATAACATATACATATTCTTAAAAATAAAGCAAAACCATTAAGCTATGTATAAATAACATATACTAATTCTTAAAATAAAGCAAAACCATTAAGCTATGTACAAATTAAGGTAAAGTTGAATTAGTCAACTTAGGATCATTACATCATTTCTTGTACTAACACACTCTTGAGTTCTTTAATCAGTATTATATAACCTAAAAAGAAGATGACAAATTTGTTCGTTACAAAATCATTATATCTTAGATGGTCACTCAACTTTCAGTTTTTTAATTAGAAAGTCATTCAACTTTAAATTTTTTAGTTATAAAGTCACTCAATTTTGTTTTATAACTCAAAACTCATTCAACTATTGATGTTTAACTTAGAAAGTCAACCAATTATTTATATTTCACTTATAAAGTCACTCAATCAATTTAAATAATTTTTTCATTAAATTTTGTCTTAAACTACTTTTAAAGAAATAATAAGATATCTATTTTAATTAGTTCATTGACCGCTCCAATTATTTTTCTAAAAAAATGTAAAAACGTACCGTAACAATCTTCTACTATTTTTTTAAATGAAAAGGTAGTAACAAAACAATAATTAAAATAAGCATCTTATTTATTTTTTAAAAGTAATTTAAATTATTTTTTGTATTTTTAATTTAAATTATTTTTTGTATTTTTAAAAAATAAAATGAAAAAATTATTTAAATTGATTAAGTGACTTTATAAGTGAAATATAAATAGTAGGATGACTTTCTAAGTGAAACACCAATAGTTGAGTGATTTTTGAATTAAAAAACAATGTTGAGTGACTTTCTAAATAAATTATTAAAAGTTGAGTGACAATCTGAGGTATTATCTCTAATAAGAATTAGAGTTGGTCTTTTCTCCTTGTCGAAGCCCACAATATCAAATATTTTTGTTATCACAGTTAATTATGTAACACTTTTTTAAGATTTATTTTAGATCATAAATTTTTTTATAGGCTATCAATTAAAGCTTGTAAGTGATATATTTATGTAAATGTTATTAATCACATCATCAGAATGTATAACTTAAACTGTTTTTTTTTATATATATGTAATATTAGGTATGAAATTATTGGAATTGTAATTAAGGTGGGAAGCAATGTGTCAAAGTTCAAGGTAGGTGAAAGAGTAGGAGTTGGATATGTGGCTGCTACATGTTTGGATTGTGAGCTTTGCAATAGCTTCCAAGAGAACTATTGTGACCAAATGAAACCTGTCTATAATAGCATTCATTGGGATGACACTCCCACCTATGGTGGTTACTCCACAATCATGGTTGCTGATCACAGGTAAAAAGATTCTAAGAATATTTTAGTACAATATTAAGTACTTTTTATCTAAGATCATAAAATTTAAAAGTCATCACAATTATTTTTTCTATTTTAATTTATGTGACATGGTTTGACTTGACACGTAGTTTAAGAAATAAATAAAGATTTTGAAACTTGTGATCTCAAATAAGTCATAAATGTTTGTGTGACTATAAATCATTTCATAGTGAAATAATCATTATAAAGATGATTGTTAAATCAAATCAGACAAATAAATTAAAATGTAAGGTGTAACTTTTATTCAATCATGATGCTTTAATTTCTTGACCCTCTAAGGTCCCATTCCCACCACATTACACTCCTACCCCACCCTTAACACTCCATATCATATCTGTTTAGATTATATAAAAATACTTTTACTATAATATCATTTGTTCACATATCGAATATAAAAAATAAATAATGAATTCACTTATTTTCCTTCGTACTGAACATAACCCTAATGTTTTTTCTCTTTTTTTAAAAATGTAGATATGTAGTGCACATACCAGATAGCTTGCCTATGGATAGAGCAGCACCACTAATGGGAGCTGGCTTGACAGTGTACACTGCCATGAAAAATAGCAACTTATTTGAGTCACCAGGCAAACATATGGCTGTAATAGGTTTAGGTGGTGTTGGGCATATGGCTATCAAATTTGGGAAGGCTTTTGGTCATCATGTTACTGTTATTAGCACCTCTCCTTCTAAAGAAAAAGATGCCAAAGAGAAATTGGATGCTGATGGCTTTATCTTGAGCACTGACCTCAAACAAATGCAGGTTTGTAAACTCCTCACAAATGTCACCTAAAAAGTTGAAATTAAAATATTATTATTTAAAAAAATATCATTTTAAGCAGACTAATAAAAATTGGACAAATAAATTAAAATAGAGGGTATAAGATGAGTTACTAATAGGGATGTACATGACCGGCTTGGTTCGGATTTTTCAATATCAAATCAAACCATTTGTCTCGGATTTTTGAACTTATAAACCAAACCAATAAAACTCGAATTTTTCAACTTCAGGTTTTTTCAAGATTTTTTGGGGTTTTTTCGGATTTTTAGATAAAGTATTCATACAAACACATAACTTGCTTGTACTTCAAATATTTCTTTAGTGTTACCAAAATGCAACTATCTAAGTTATTTCTCAAGAAAATAACAAAAAATATGATATGATTATTGACACTACAATATCCAATAAAAATATAATAATAGAATCGCTTAAAACAAATATTGCAAATTAATAAGTCATAATAAAATTGATCATAATTTAAAGTACTAAATCATATAAGTTTAGCAAGTATTAGTTACATGACTAAATATTAAAAGAAAGTAAAATTAGATCATTATTTTAATTATTTGAATCTTTGTAAAACTAAAAAAACAAATATTCAATATTATTGTCATTCTTAGTGTTGAATTGATTTTCTTTTTGCATTACTATTAATTTGACTTTTATTTAAACTTTGTTATAGTTACCTATATGTATGAATTATAATCTTTATTAGATCATTAAGAATTCTAACTTCTAAACATGAATTAAATATATTAAAAGATTAAAACTATGAAAAAGTATAAGGGATATTTAAAAATTATATCAAAGAAAGTATTTTACATATAAAATAAAATTTTAAAATTATACATATAATGTCGGGTTGTTTTTTTTTAGTTGAAAGCAAACCAACCCAAATATAGTCGGGTTTTTTAATCCAACACCAAACGAAGTCAAACCATAGAACTAGTCGTGTTTTTTTTTTGTTTGACTTGGTTTGTGGTTTGGTTCGATTTTCAGTTCGGTTTTGCACACCCCTAGTTACTGACTACATAGATGTTTACGATTATTAGATGAGTGGGTTAAAATCTCATGTTGATTGGAAAATAGACTTATGATCTTCTTATATTGATTTGGACAATTCTCCAATCATGAATTAATTTTTGGGTTAAATTGGACTCATGTGAGTCATTTATTACTATGGTATTGGAGTAGAACTCATCTCATCGAATGTAAGACCCCAAATTAAATTTTTCCATGCACCAGTTGTCCAATCTTGGGCATGAGGCAGCTAGGATGTTGAACAATGAAAAAGTCTCATGTCGATAGTTAATTAAATGAGTGACTCTTTATAAACCTTGGACAATCCTTTTCCTTTTGAGTCAACTTTTGAGATGTGACTTAGGTCCAAAACCTAATTTTACATGATATTAAAGTCACGTACATCTTCATTTGAACTCTTCGTCCACGCTATTGTTGGACCTGGGCATGAGGACATGTTAGAATGGGTTAAAGTCCCAATCAATGTGGAACGGACCAACAATCTTCTTAAATGAACTTAGACAATACTTCCTCTTATGAGCTAGCATGTATTTGGATTGATTATATTCACATGTCACATATTTATAACACTCAACATACTTATTTTATGATTGTGATTAGAGCTGTTAAAACGAGCTGACCAATACAAGGCTAGAGATTGCAGCGGCCTAACCTACCTTACCTCTATCCTCCATTTAAAAGAGCGGGTCATTTGTACTTTTGCCCCTATTTTATGTTGGTTTTTAATTTATGTCCCTCGTAACAAATAAATTTTTCGTGAGACGATATACAAATGCAATAAATTGAAAGTTTAGTACTTATTGTTTCTTTTTCCCTTTTCACCCTTTTTGGTGGTTGGCAGAGGAACAGAAGAAGTTTAGATTTTATTATTGACACAGTATCAGCAAAGCATTCTTTAGGGCCTTATCTTGAGCTCCTAAAAGTGAATGGAACTATATCAATTGTGGGAGAACCAGCTCAGCCAATTGAAGTCCTAGCTACACCTTTGATCTATGGTAAATATTTTCAATTCAATTATTTAGAGACAGATTCAAAATTTAAAGTTAGAAAACTTTCCACATATGTTGTTCAGTTTCTTCAAAAATATCAACAGGTGAGTGTGAGATCCTCCAAAAATAGTGTATCTTTGAAGGATCCGACACGAATGTTAAAATATTTTCGGAGGTATAAAACATTCATGTTTTATTGAAGTTGTTTAATTATTTTTTGAAAAATGTTTCAGGCAAAAAAGTTGTTAGGGGTAGCATTATTGGAAGTGTGAAGGAGTTACAAGAGATGATGAATTTTTGTGGCAAACACAACATCTTGTGTGAGATAGAGCTTGTTACAATTGACAAAATTAATGAAGCCTTTGATAGGCTTTCCAAGAATGATGTTAAGTTTCGATTTGTCCTCAATGTAGCTGCCCACCAATATTCCTCAAGGCTTTAGAAACTACATTTCTTGTTCAAGTATTGTTTGAAATTGTTATTGTAAGTTATTCTTATGTATCTCTACTTTTTGCATCTTAAATTATGTGTGATTTTTGGACTTTTCACATTTGTTCGAGTCTCAATATGAATATCAGACATCAAAGTAAAAATAAATAAATAAATTGTTTGTACTTTTTCTTTTATATGTAGCTTTTTATGTGCCTTGACTCTTGATTTTGAGTGACAAATTAGACTTCAAAATTCTAATTATAAGTGGCCATTCTATCCCATTTTTAGGTTCCTATTTGAAGATATCCTACCATTTTTATGAGGTCGTCTGATTTCGTATTACAGTGGGGGAACAAAGAGACTTCGGTGGAAGAAGGTACATAATATTAACAATAATAATAATTACTCTATTGATTCGGTGGCGATTCCAAAAAATCGGTTTGAGTTGATCGACTAGTTGTAAGATCTGATCTAAAAATCAACCCGCTGCCACCAACACCACCAGCAATAACACTTATTTGAATCTCCGGCAGTGAGCGACCTACCTTCTCATCGAATTCTCAGGTACATTTTTTCTTTATTTTCCTTCTAAAAATTCTTGTTTGGTGCATGATTATACAACATTCGATGTACTTAATGGTGAAGTTAGATACCGCAAGGAGGTTAGGTTCATAAAAAAAATTACTTTAATCCACCTTACTGTGATTAAGAAAAGATTATTGTGTGAAAAACTTGCACTGATATAACTAGAGTCAATTAATAGTATATGACCTTTAATTGTATCCTCATTTATACTTTGTCATGTGGTAATGTTATGAACTCTTAATGAACGCATCTAGATTTGATAATACCTATTTTTATATACTCTAAAAGATGAAGAATTTTGAGTGAAATGATTGAACGCAAGTGACCAAGTGTTTACCATCTTGACTGATTGAGATGAATTATGATTAAACGATTGATCTCCTCTTACTATTCCATGTAAAAAAACATTCTAACTAGAGTAAGAGGAGACCAATCATTTAATAGTAATCCACCTCAATTATTAAAGATGATAAACACTTAATCACTTGCGTTCAATCATTTCATTCAAAATTCTTCCTCATTTAGAATATAAAAAAATAGATATTGTCAAATTTAGATGTGTTGATTGAGTGTTCATAACATTACCACATGACCAATTACAAATGAGTATACAATTGAAGGTTGTCTATTATTAATTAACTCTAGTTATATTAATGTAAATTTTCACATAATAATCTTTTCTTAATCACTGTAAGAAGGATTTAAGTGATTTTTTTATGAACCCTAACCTCCTTGGGGTATTTAGCTACACCATGAAATCATCCAAGGTTGTATAATCACACACCAAATAAGCATTTTAGAAGGAAAATAGATAAAAAAAAAAATGAACATGAGAATTTGACGAGAAGAGTAGGTAGCTCGCTGTCGGAGATTTTTAAGAAAGTGTTACTATTGATGGTATTGGTTGTAGCGGGCTGATCTTTTAGATCAGATCTTACAACTTGTCGTTCAACTCGAACTGATTTTTTTTGGGAATCTCCAACGAATCAATCGAGTCATTATTATTATTATTTTGTACCTTCTTGCACTGAAGTCTCTTTTTGTTCCCCTGATGTAATGCCAAATTAGACGACGTCATACTAACTGACTTTGTCTCCTTTTGATGATGATAAGATATCAATTTCTTCTTCATCTGTACTTTCATAATTCAATAACATGTATTACTCAATCAATACATACAAATTAATTAAGTATGATTAACATTAACTGCAGCTAATTTACTACTAATTATAGAACTAATGAAACAATTTTTAAAAAAAAATTGGTAGAAAATAAATTCATGATGTGGCGACTAAAAATAACCAAGTATGCTACAAAAAAGCTTCCACAAAATATATGTTTTGTAAGTCGCCACTTGAAGTTAGACTTTCAATGGCTATTATAGACGCTACCAAAAGGACTTATACTATTAGTTCCAACTCTCATCGCCACTAAAGAAAGGATTTCAGTAGCGACTTATGTCATGCAGATGTTTAATACTTTCAATTGCAGCTCTAATTGCCACTAAATCTTGAGTTTTGTGGCAACTTATTATCGCCACAGGTACTAATTTTTATTTCTTACAAATTTTGTTGCCACAAACCTATCTTTTCATTGTAATTCAAGAAACATAAGAAAACTATCCTTAAACTAGATATAACAAGTACTTCTATTACTAAGAAACTCAAGAAAATATACAATTCACAATATTTCATTATTCAATGTCATTTATGCATATACACAAATGAAAAAGAAAATTAAGTGTCTTCAAGCTCCCCTCCTTTGGCGATGGGTTTTGGGATAACGCAAGAACCTTGCCTTTATTAGGAAAATACACAAGATCACTTATGTTATCACAACTTGCTGGTGGTATAATAAATTCAAGTTCACCAAATGCATTCTATTTATAAGTTGTTCTCTAATTCGTTCACAAAATTGATGAAAACAAGCTAGTTCCATGCAAGAAGAGAAACAATGAAGAAGTGCATCTGGGGATAGCTCAAGATGTATTACAAAGAACTAGCAATTGGCCACTTGTTCTCAAGAGTTGCGCGCAGTTATAACAAAAGATCAATATAGATACCAAAAGTGTTTACCTGTTGAATCTCGACATTATAGAATCCACAACTTTGAATCTCTTTGTCCACTTCTAATCTAATTCGTTCTTGGAGCGTTCTATCCATTTCTATTGAAATTTGTCCTTGTTCCTTTGACAACTTCAAAAATCCATCTTAAATTTCATCTCAGCTTCCTACGTGATTCATGAATCAACATTAGTAGCAAACAACTTCAAAATAACAACATATTATCATTAGTATCTCTTGAAGAGCTGATTGTTTAATACTGAATCTATGACCAATTACTCAAACTATATTATCAAAAAAATCAAAACATAGTTAATTGTGGTAAATGTGCTTTGTCACTCCATATTATCATTTTTTTTTCTAGAGACATCTCCATCATCAGGTAATTTTTCTTTGATTTTATCAAATTCGGATACATCTATAACTTAATCTTCATACATATTAATCATATCTAAAATCGAATGCAGCAGCACATTTAAAGTGAAACTTTTAGCCAAAGCAATTGAAGGAAAATATTGTGTTAAACAGCACCAGATAGTTAGATTTGGCATAACGAGTTAATCAATCATCAAGTCGATTCCACCATGTAACATCTAATCTTTACATGGTATTTAATTCAGAAACTTATGCTTGCATTAGATTTAAGTTTTGATAAAAGAAATCTTATGTAAAAGAACTAACTAAATGTGTACAAGTTCCTTAGCATTACTAATTGTAATTACACATTGTTAAGAGTGTAAATATAGTTAGTTAGTTAGTTAGTTAGTTTGTTAGAAATGGCAGTAAATTAGTTTTGGTTTAGAGTCATTATATATATATGCTTGTAATTAGTATTAGGAAGTTTAGTTTTCAATATCAGATTTTCTCCTCTTCTTCACTGCTTCTCTGTTCTTCCTTTTACTCTTCAATGGAGTTTTCTTTCTCCAATTCAGCTTCTTAACATGGTATCAGAGCACACGAGCCTAGATTTGGACAATTCCTACACATTCAATAAAGGATTTTGCTATTTCAGTTGATTTTCTTATTTTTCTATTTCATGGAGGTTCAAGGAACTGCTTCAGAAACTTCCATACCAGCTTCACCTTCTTCTTTCGATCCTCTTCATCCTTTGTATCTGTATCCATCAGATTCACCTGGATCGTTGAATGTTGGGATCTTACTCACTGGAAGTGATAACACCTTATGGAGCAAGGCTATGGAGTTAGCCTTGCTTGGAAAGAATAAGGTTGGATTTATCGATGGAACAGTGAAGAAGACACAATTCACAGGGGACTTGATTCGACTTTGGGATCGCTGTAATGCCATAGTTGTTTCGTGGATATTGTGCAATGTAAGTAAAGATCTTCACAGTGGAGTTCTCTATTGCTCAAATTCATACTTGATTTGGGAAGATCTTAAGGAAAGGTTTAACAAGGTAAATAGCTCTCGTATTTTTCAGCTGCATAAAGAGATTTTTACTCTTGTTCAAGGTGTCTCGTCTGTGTCATTGTAGTACTCTAGGTTGAAGGATTTGTGGGATGAATATGATTCTATAATGCCTCCTCCGGCTTGTACATGTTCTAGATCTAAAGAATTTTTTGAGCAATCACAACATCAGAGAATGTTACAGTTTCTAATGGGGCTTAATGACAATTATAGTCAGGCTAGAAGTCAAATTCTGTTAATGCCACAACTTCCTAGCATCAATCAAGCATATGCTATGGTTAATCAAGATGAAAGCCAAAGGATGGTAGCTGGATCAAGTAGGGTAATGTCTGATATGGTTCCTACTGCAATGTTTTCATCTAATTTTGGTCCTGGTGGTCATAAGCCTAGAAGATCCTATAATCCAAATGCTCTTTGTGATTACTGTAATATCAAAAGTCATATGAGAAGTGATTGTAATAAACTTCTAAAGTGTGACTTCTGTCACAAAATTGGTCACCTTAAGAGTAATTGCTATAAACTGATTGGGTATCCTGCTGAATACAAAGGCAAAAGAGATACAATTGTTGCTGGAAATTCTGTCTATAATGCAGGACATGTATCTCAACAGTATCAATGTGATAAGACAGATGCCTCCAATCATCAGATGCAAATGCAGTCTCCAAGTGTTTCTTCTTCACATAACAATGAATCTCAGATGCCTCCTTCACAGTACAACTCTCAGATGCCTTTGTTCACTCCATTGCAACATCAGAAATTACTAAAAATGCTTGATCAAACTAACCTTGAAGATATAAGTGGTACATCAAATATGACAGGTAATCATTTGTCTTCAAATGCTTCTATGAAGTGGATTATAGACACTGGAGCATCCCATCATATAGTAAGAGACTATACATGTTTATGTAATTCAGTTATGGTAGAGAATGCAGGTCAAGTTCAGCTGCCAACTGGTACTTCTGCCAAGGTTTCACATGTTGGAGATTGTCACATAGGAGGAGGTGATGTTCTTAGAAGA